CTTGGGCTGTGAAAGCTGAGAGCAACTTGGGAAAAATAGCACTTAAAAGTCAGCACTGCTCACACCAGAGGTTATATTGAAATGGTGATTGTTATACCTTCTAACAACGTGTGGCTGGATTGGCTACATATTGTTTATAATTATGGGATTAGCCAAAGCAATTATGGCCAGCTAGGCATTACCATATACACAATGACCAGATTCTGATTCTACCCTGTTGATCAACATTAATTTTTCTCCCATGTGTGTCTGGAGGAACAGAAAGGAAATAGTGGTTTGGTTTGGTTTTTGTTTTCCATAAACTTAGAGCCTCATCCCAGAGACATCTGAGAAGCCACCCCCTCCATTTCATATAGGTCCTTACCTGGGCTAAACATTCGGTATCTGGATCTGGAACTGGTTTATCTAGGTGCACACCTTTCTGGCCCTCCAGAGTGGCTCATGCAACAGCATCCACAATATTTACGATCCAAAGAGTTTGATCATTACAGTCTTCAGATTTGTTTACCATGGAGAAAAAAAAGCTCTCTAAAAAAGAAGTGCCTGTTATTGCTACAGAGCTCTTCCACTTGGTTCAATGATACCCCTTGAGATGTATTTGGATTCCTTTCCTCTGCTGAAACAGCTGCTGTTACTGGTTTTTGCTTAGCCTGAAAATGTTTATGAAAGTGTCTTGGTATGTGAGTGCATGTTCCCGAATGATTGATTCTCGCATATTTGTAGGAGCACAAGTAGTGTCTATCGGAAAGTGATTTCATTAACCTCAACATCTGTGGGCCTGCCTGAAAGCTGAACTTCACGTGAGTACGTCACGTGATGACAACTTACACATTGGGTTCAGCTCCAATCTGATGTTCCAAATTCGATTAATATTTACAGTGTGAATACCTTTTCCCCTCCAGTTTAACAACAAAACCAGCTTCACATAAACTACTTGAAAGCTGAGTTAGTGGGGGATACAAGCTAGTATACGCACTTCAGGCTCCATGCAACACGTAGCTGTTTGGAAAAGTCCTTTCCTGAGCTGCCCTGAGCACAGACTTTAATCAGAGAAGCATTTGCCATAGAGTTGGTGCCACCACCAAAGAACTAATGAATCATCATGAATCAAACAAATTGTTGGGAGGTGGCATGATCAAGAAGGTGGGGCTTCACTTAGGAGTCGGGATGCCTGGGTTCTTTGCCCAGCTTTGCCACATGCTTGCTGTGTGACACAGCTCTTTTCCAGCTGCCTTTTCCCCTTGCACAACCCTTGTCTACTTTGAATGGAGGCAACTTCCCTGGTACATACTGACTCACTGCCCCCAAAAATACTTCTTTAAAAATGCCTTGGGTTTGATGAACGCTTACGGATGCCAAGGCAGGATTTTGATTCCTGAGAATGGCCTTGGCAGTGGAACCCTGTGATCCCACAGTGTCTGTGACTAATGCATTACTACAGACATCTTTTAATCCCTTTATGGAAAGAGTGTAGTACCTTTGACATGTGTTTGCTGGCCACAGTCAACTCTAAGCAAGGCCTGAAGGAAAACTTTTGCCTTCAGTGGCTGTCTACAAGACTAGTGGATTGCACAGTTGTTACTGTGGAGTCATTTAGTACTTGCATTACTGTGCACTAGTATCCCCACAGGTTTTTTTTTCCAGATGCTACTACAGAGTAGCAATGAGCTACTGCGTAGTAGCTTGTTGCTACTGTGCAGTAGCATCATGTCACGGTTAGTGCCTGCCAATGCTGCTGCATGGTAGCAACTGTGCAGTAGGTCATTGGTACTGTGCAATAGCCCCTTGTGTGGACGTGCCTAGTGACTCTTAAGAAAACTGACACACAAAAAAAAGAAAAGGAATTAAAAAATATACACATCGAGCTGGCAGGGCCACAGCTTTGGGTGCCACTGGTCTAACCTTTCCTGTCTGGGGCAGGAGGTCAGACCTGATGATCTGTTTAGGTCTCTTCTGACCCTAAGCACTATGAAACTATGAAACCTATTCTTAAAATTGCATAGAGAACCCTCTCATTCAACTACAGGGCCTGAAAACATCAAGAACACCCTAGCTTGTGGTAGGTGGTGAAGGAGGATGAAGCCTCTGTCTGTTGTTCTATTGACAATTCAAGAGTTAACTTCCCAGGTTTTAAGCCAGTAACTTTCACTGGCATTACACTGAATAAGGTAACTCACAGGAGACACTTGGAGACAGACACGTGTCTTAACACCAGATCCTTTCCTGGGCTGAGGTACCTGAGCATGGACAACAGGCATGTCAGATGGGAAATCACAGCTTAAAACACCCCAGGAGATGCAGGTGCCTATTTCTTCCCTTGCAAAAGAAGGTAACAGTGGCTCCTTTCTTTCACAGCAAAGCTACAGGTCGGGGGAATGCATCCATCTTTTAATATAATTAGCTTGGTCATGGGACTAGATGGGGATGATTTGGGCTTTGTGCTGTATCCCCAACTCCCAGGTCAGTGCACTAACCACCTGGCTGGGATGTTAAAGCTGTTACCAGTGCGTAGAGAAGAATTCAACCGAGACAGGAAGGAAGAGAAGGCAAAACACTGTGTAAATCATTGATTGAGCTGTAACCCCAGAGAGGATGAGCAGGTTCCGATCCCGGCTGGAAGGACTGTTGATGCATTTCATCTAATTCCTGTTTACCTTAAAATGTGTGATCCGATTTGTTTACCTAGGGAAAAAACTCTCTCTTAAGAAATAAGTCTTTATTATTGCTCACTCCTTTGTCTGTTTGGCTCTGTGGTACCCCTTGAGAGACATTTAGATTCCTCTTTCCTGCTAAAGCATCTGCCATTTCTGGCCACTGCTCAGTCTGAAACTGTGCACAGGAGTGTCCTTCTCAGTTTGTGTACCTACATGACTGGAAGTGGCCGCAAAACAGGGTTTCCAGTTTGCCGGAAATGTCAGGTGTTTAAAATCTGGTTTGGGGCTGAATCAGACCGAGCTGGAAAGAAAGAAAAAGCAAACAGAACGGGAAATGTCCCACGGAACAGAAATGCCAATACAACATGCTTTTAACCCCCGAACCTGGTGTTTCTCAAAGGCAGTGGTGTTCTTGGAAATTGTAGCTGGTCAGTGAAACTGATGCTCTTGTCAGTTTCATCGCTAATAGCAGGACCGACCCTGATCAGCGTCAGGTTCAGTGTCAGCTACTGACTCCGTAGCTTCTGGGCATACTGGGGCAGGGGAAGCACAGACTGGGACCCAAACTCAGGAGGTCCATCCTGGTTTTGCAGCAGGGAGCCTGAAAGCTAGCATTGAAATGAGAGGTGAAGTGGGCAGATGGGTAAGGGATAAGAGTGCCGTGGCCGTGGGAAGAAGCCCTGTTGCTTTATTGTTACTGATGCTTAGTGCAAGGTCTGTTATCCGGTGGAATAGGAGCGGAAGGTTGTGACCTTCTGGGGACTTTGACTGGGCCGTGCCAATGCTCTTGCTGGGACCAAAGCCAGAGGGTCCTGGCTAGAGGGTCTTGCCCTGTGCTCAGGGTCAGACTGATGCGAGTCAGAGAGAAGTAGTGTTAGAAGGCATCTCTGCAGGTTATCTAATCCAATGCCCTTCCTGAAGCAGGATCATCTGTATCCAAACTGTCTCATACAGCCATAATCTAAACTCTACATAAAACTGCCCTCAACCCTCAAAAACACAGGCCTAACACCCTGCCCTGCCACGGGGAAAGCAGAGGAACTGGGGCACCCAGTGTCCTGCTTCTATGAAATGCCGTATTTTGGATCAGGAAGGGGTTTTACCCCATGGTCAGATTGATACAGACAAGGGGCAGGTTGCCTTCTCCGGTAGCAGGGGGCATGGTACACTACTCGGGACCTCATGAGTGTATATTGACAACAGAAGCAGGACATTGGCTGCCTTGGCACAACATAGACCGAGCATCTGAACCTGCCCCAGGGAAAGCAGGGGACCAAGTTGAGGGTCATCTTATGTTGAGTGTAGATGAGGGGTTGTATGGGACAGTATGCACAAGGCTGATCCTGCCTCAGGCAGGGGGTTGGACTAGATGTGACCTCCGGATGCCCCTTCCAGCCCCACGTCTCTAGGATCCTATGAACCCTTTAAAAGCATCCTATGAATCCTTTACAAGCTATCACTGTCGGGCAGCTCTTCCCGGAGAGATCCCTATTCCAGTACCCCCAATCCCCAGCAACTGAGCGGTTGATTCAGCATGGAGCAAGACCAAAGATGGCTCTAAGCCGCCAGGAGAGGGCTGGTTTATCAGTAGGGATCCTGGTAAAAAAAAAGAATCCCCAATTTTAGGTTTTAAAAAAACAAACAACTCCAAAATCCACATTTTTCCATGATTAAAATGAAACACCACTATATCTATCTATCTGTCTATCTCTAGATGTGACCTCCGGATGCCCCTGCCCTGCCTACAGACATATAGATATAGGTATATCTATACCTAGAGAGATAGATCTATAGATATAGATGGAGAGATAGATAGGTTTATCTCTCTCTCTCTCTCTCTCTACCTATCTATTGATATAGATATAGATCTACCTAGATCTAGATAGAGAGAGAGAGATTAGTGGCGTTTCATTTTAACCACAGGAAAATGCGGATTTGGAGTTACTTTTTCTTAAACCGAAAATTGGGGATTTTATTAAATCAGAGAAAACCAGGATCCCTAGTTATCAGGGTCACAGAGCCCCCCCTCCCCCGTTGAGGCAGGAGCCCCGCTGGAACGCGCTGACTGCCGGGCTGTGATCTCACTCGCTCACGTCATCTGCAGAAAGGGGGGACCCCGTGACGTCATGCCGCAGGTTGCGGGGCGGGAAGGGCTGTCCCCGCGCTGGTTTGGACGGGGTGGCAGGGGATGCTCCCAGCCGGCCTGGGGGGTGGGGGTTGCAGGGCCGCCCCCCCTCCCGGGCCGGGCTGCCGGGGGCAGGGGCATTGCTGTCCCGTGGCCGCGGCTTCCCCGCCCCTTCCCCTGCCCGGCTCGTATTTAAGCGCCGCTCCCGACCCTGCCGCGGTCTCGCTTCCCCCCGGCCGGCCCCATGCAGCTCCCCGCGCCGCCGCTGCTCCTGGCCCTGGCCCTGGCCCTGGCGCTCAGCCTGGCGGGCGCCTTCAAGTCCCCCTACCAGCAGGTCCTGCAGCACAGCCGGCTCCGCGGCAGGCAGCACGGGTAAGGGGCTGCGGGAGCGGGGCAGCTACTTCGTGTCCGGCCGTAGGTTCACAGTTGTTCGGGGCTGGAAGGGGGCCAGGCCCCCTGCGCTTGCTGCGATCGGATTGTGCCCGCGTGTGTGTGATCTCGCAACAGACTGATTGTGTGTGTGTGACAAGTTTCCCCAGGTAGATGTGACACCTTTTATTAGACCAAATGAGTAGTCGGGGGGGAAAAAGTTCTTAGCAAGCTTTCACCCTTCATCAGGCATAGGGAGTCTTTGCTGGTTTGAGAGTTCAAGGAATGAGAGGAGCTAGAAGTGTGGCAGGATGTCAGTGGAAACGTATGTGTGTGGGTGTGATCTCGCTGCGTGGATTGCTTTTGAGGGCACGGTGCCACAGAAGTGTTGGTGGCTTTGGCACAGCCTAGAGTTGTGGCTAGCATGGCACAGAGGGCAGGCTAGCTTTGCACCTTCTAGACTAACCCAAGTAGTATCTCATTCACATCCGTCTCTCAGGATTAGTCCTGTGTGTATGACGTATAGGGTCCCACTGAAGTGTGGTTGCCTTTGGCACACCCTGGGATTCAGCTTTACAGGTAACAGAAGGCAGGCTATGTTTGCACCTTCTAGACTAACTCAGGTAGCATCTGATTCACATCCATCTCAGGATTGTTTGTGAGAGAGAGAGAGAGCTGGCAACACTATCAGGATTATTTGCATGTGTATCACATTTAAAGGCACGGTCCCATAGAAGCACGGGTGACTTTGGCACAGCCTAGGATAAGATGGAATAGAAGGTAGGCTAGATTTGCACCTTCTAGACTAACCTAAGCAGTATCTAATTCACATCTATCTCTTGGGAATAGTTGTGTGTGTATCACTTTTAAGGGCACAGTCCCAAGTGTGGTTGGGTTGCCATTGGCACAGTCTAGGATTACAGCTTGCAGGGAACCAGAGGCAGGCTAGACTTGCACCTTCTGGACTACCCCAAATAGCATCTAATTCATGTCCATCTATCAAGATTGTTCATGTGTGTGAATGTGAGAGAGATCTGGCAACACTCTCTCAGGATGATTCATGTATCACTTGTGGGGGCACGGTCTCATAGAAGCACAGGTGACTGGTATAGTCTAGGATTAGGGCTAGCATGGCACAGAAGGCAGGCTAGATTTGCACCTTCTAGACTAACCGAAGTAGCAGCTATTTCACATCCATTTCTCAGGACTGTGTGGGGGGGGTGGGG